AAAAAATATGGTAATCTAAAAAAATAAAAAATCAAATAGAAAAAAATGAAGAATAAACAAAAATAAAAAACCAATATGCGCGGAGTGGAGAGTTCGGAGAGTTTCTCCGAACTCTCTAGAGAGTTTACTCCAAACAAGAGAGAGTGAACTCGAGTTTGAAGTAAACTCTTCGGAGAGTTTGGAGAAACTCCAGGGTCTCTGTGGCTACGCTATATGTTGTTTTTGGTATTGAAATAATATAATTAACATCAAAATCGAACAAGAAATTCCAAGTATTTTAAGCATCAAGGCAACCAATAAACTTCTTGGATTGGAAGGCTTACGAGCAGCGACTCAAGAAAATGCATCTTTCCCTCCCACTTAGTTTTAGATTTGGATCAGTTTATTTTTTTAAAATTCTAAGGTTGGTCTAATCACAAATTGCGCTTGGTCGACACTTTTTTTTGGTTTCATTGCTAATTTGTTATATCAATAAAAGAATTTAACTCACCAATAGGCACTTTCCTAGGAAATGTGTCCAGGTTGATGAAATAAGACTAGAAAGTTTTACATTGATTTCCAACTTGCCACAACTTTATTGTATCTTATGTGTAGTTTTATGGAACCATGCTTATATGTAGCCATATCGTTGAGTTGTATAACCTAATCTATTATCATTGTCATATTGCGGAGTCTCTGCACAGTTCGCATAGATTGTGTGGAGTGTTCACACAATGTGCGGACGGAGTGCGGGCTCCGCACAATCCGCACAGATTGTGCGGAGTGTCCGCACAATGTACGGACGAAGTGCTCACACTCTGCATAGAAGGTTTCTTCGGATTTTTTTTTAAAATTTAATCATGCAATTAGTTTGTTATATTATTAGTTAAAAATATGCATTAAATCTAATAAAAAAAATACAATTATAACAATATAATACAAAAAAAAACTCTCAAAATAATCATTGCTAACAACAAAAGAATATAAAAAAAAGCAAGAAGACAAAAATGAAAAAAGTAAAACAAAGAATGATACAAAAAATTTGGCATTATTGTTCGAATGGAAAATGCATTATTGAAACACAAAAAACTTTTTCAATCACCAGGTTAAAATATGGATTTATTGTGTGTGTTAAATTTTTTTTATATAATCATAATAAATCTTCTTATTACGTTAATAAAATTACAATAATTTTTTTAAAAAAAATAGCATTAAAAAATCAATTTTATCTTCAACAAAAAAAGACATTTAAAAATTAGCAATTTCATAACTATTTTTTTTAATTCCTAGAAATATAGTTATAAAAAACGAAATAATATTGAATTACAAAAACCAATATCTGTCGTATTAAAGACAATGTGCAATAAATACGGTATGATGTAAATACTGTATGATGCAAATACAGTGTGTTGTAAATACGGTATGCTGCAAATATGGTATGCTGTAAATAAGGTATGATGCAAATACAGTATGATGCAAATACAGTATAATGTAAATACCATATTTACAGCTTACCGTATATGCTGCCCAACATATTTGCAGCTTACCGTATATATACTGCCTACCATATTTACAACTTAGCGTATATACCAATTTTTGCACTTACAAATACCGATAATGCAAAATACCGTACATTCACTTACCAAACAAAATGTCAAAAAAAAATTTCAGATATTCATCTTTTCGACATAAGCGTAAAATAAATATTAAAATATATGAAGCACAAAATATAAACGCATATGAATATGCAAGTCGATTTATAATTTTGTGCTCAATCTTCAATTTTCTAATATTGAATTAGAAATATAATTTTCACATTCAACTCAATCATATCAACACTATTAAAAAATACAAGCAAAATAGTTTGCATATTTCTTATTCAAATATAAAATATACAAGCATATTTTTTTCTAGAAAACAAAATACTGTTGCAATTGTAAAAATAATTTGCAATTATTTTCTTATATCATGAAAATATTTCTAGACATTGTTTCAAAAACTTTCCAAAAAACTAAAATTTATACGCTAATAAAAATACGATAAATATAAAATTCGTGCAATGCACGTAATAGTGACTAGTATTTATAATATCACAATGACAATAAAAACCTCTCAAATGCTCATTCGCTAGTTGAAGCTCGTTTTTTCTTATTAATTTATTTTCACATTTATCTTCTAAATAAAAAATTCATAGTAAAAAAAAACGAATAGTCGAACACATTTTTTCCAATAACTTCTGGAAAAATGGGAAAGTTCACTAGCAAACCAGTATGTTTCCAGATGAAATTGTAACCATTTTTGTTTTGAAGGCGGATCTTAGCTGTCTCCAACTCCGAAGAAAATAATCCGTAGCCCAACAACACATTCGAAGCTCGTGGTACAATACAGTAATGCATTCAAATCCAATTTTTTATTCACAGTCGGTCCTTTTGTCCCAATTCCAATTTCTCTCTCATAAAGCATAAACCCTCCCCCTGTTCTTTCTTCTATGCTCCGTGATTCTGTTACACTTTTCGTTCCTACACACGCTGAAGATTAACATAAAATTCAAGAAAAGTAGTAGAAAACAGAACAGAACAATAATCAATCAGGAAAAAAGAGAGCAAAAATGGATTTTGGCGACATGACACCTATATTCGGGGAAGTCGAAGCAGTCTGGTCCGCACCGAGCACCACTCCGTTAGAGCCCTTTCTCTTTCGCGTTCACGGCTTGCAAAATGACCCTTCTGGCCTCAGAATCATCGTGACTGACTTCCAGTCCAATACTTTTGAGGCCATCAGGACCCGTCATCAGCTCGAAGACATGGTCAGTTTTTCACTTTGTGGTTAAATTCGTATATTTTTTTAAATGGGATTTTACGTGAATCGTGCGTGATAGATAGAATCGCTGCATTGGATGCATGTAAGTGCTGCCTTTTTCTTGAATTTTTTCGTTGTTTTTGGGTTGTGATTGCCGACTTTAGATCATTCTGGTGTTTAATATTGAAAAATGCCGGCGTTACAGCAATGTACGGTTCACCCAGCGTAAAGTAAATTACTGAAATGCATGTTTTTTCTCCTCCCCCTTTGGTGTTTTGACATTTGAGCAGTGGATATATCGCTTAAACAAAGGAGGCCCAAGTTAAATTATTGGTCAGGTCAAGTTTCTCTCCAAACATAATAAGACGCTACATGTTTGGCTAAGTTTCAAGTAAGTAGAAGTCACTTTTGAATAAGATTATTATTCAATATAAGCAATTTTTTTATGTCAGTTTTAAATAACCAACTTATTAATCTTTAAGGTCATGAATTAAAAATTTACATATTCTGTGGAAGTAATTTCACCCTTGTTTGAGCTCCATTTTTGACTAGAAAATGCATTTTTGAATAGTGCAATGATGTGAAATGTGTGTTTAAAAAATAAGGAAAAATTTTGGATATGCATGTAATAATATTTTATTGAAGAATGTGTGGTTAAAATGATGTCAAAATATTGTTTAAAAATGCATTTTTTTCCAAAGAATGGGGCTTAAACAAGGGCAAGCATAGCCAAATGTACTCTTACTACACTAAAAAACAATAATTATTTAGAGAGTTTATAAATTAGATAAGTGAATTAATTCAAAAGTGTTTTATATTTTTACTACTTGTACATGTATACTTTTATACATATAGGAATTGTTAAAAAAAAAAACCTGGATGTAGACATATGTTCATACATAGAAAACAACTATTGCAAATTGTTTTCACCATTGCATGATTCGGTTAAGTGGAGATATTGCTTCGAAGTCGTAAGTCCGTGAAAATGAAGGCAAAATGAAATGGGATAGAATTGCCTATATAATGGTGTTTTGTCAATTGTTTTTCCAAATCAGGTCTTTCAAGCCGTTGTAACCTCAAATCATTACGTTCTACAAAATGGAAAAAATATACTAACTGTGATGTATGCTTTGCCAAAACATTAGGGATGGGGTTGAGTTCGGTTTGGGTAAAAAGAAAAAAGCAAGTGGCTTTAGATACATATCCTGAGAAAGAGTTGAATTGATAAAATAGTTGTTGTCAAGTACAGTTTTTTAGTATGTATTATGAACTTTTATCGATTTAATCGTTTATGGATTCATTTTATATACTCGTTAGTCTCTAAAGGATTTGAAATAAATTTTTTATCTTAGCAATGTTATTAATTTAACACACTAGCCGAGTTAGGAATGAAGATTTTTATTATTTAAGAAAAGTTTTTAATTTAAAAAATCAATGTTTCAGTGCACCTTGTATTTGATTTCATTGTTTCTACCTATAGAAAGCTGCAGCCTACAAGATTGCGTAAAAAGGAAAAAAAGAAGGAATTCCCTAATCCTCGGTTTCCAAAAGGAAGAGCTTGAAATGCAGAGTGGATCTAGTCATTAGTTGAAGAATTTCAGTGCATCTCGATTAATGGTGTTAAAATTGTTGAAATCTAATGTATCCTTAAATTAAACCGAGTGATGAAGATATATAGAACTCTTTTTTGTTGTAACTTTTTCCATATTTAGACTATAACGGCTTGTAATATATGGAAGTACAATTGTAACATTGTGCTTGACAACACATAAGATATTTGTTTTGTATAGACTTGAATTTCATCATTTGTCAGGCAATTTCAATATATATTTTCTACTATATTTTAGGAGTATCTGCAATTAAAGTTGCTGTTTTTCATAAGGTTCTTTCAACTCTTCCTGGAACTACCAGCAGAAAAAAGTTAATATTCTTTTCTTTGTTAGTTTGAGCCTGCAGTTTTCTGCATATTATATTTGGTAGTTTGACTTTAAAAACCTTATAGAGATCAGTTTGAAAAAATATGGAGTTAAGTCTCTAGCGAAGCGTGTGCATTGCAATAGTGAAAGCAAATAAGGATGGTAAATCTCTGACATAATATGTTTCAATGGTGTTAGCTGAAAGTATGCCAAATATATTTTCTACATGTGCTCTACCCAGTCATTTCATTTTGAAATAATTACTCCGTTGTAAAATGCATTACTATCGAAAGCTTATTAGTTGTTGTCGACTGTGGATTCATTCTGGCCTTGCTACCTTAATTTTTTACAAATTAATAACCAGAAATCTATCACATTAAGCCCTTGTTTGACCCCCATTTTTTATAAATCATTTTCCCTCAAACTCATTTTCAACCACACATTTTATGAGATTGACAACTTTTATCATCTTTTCAACCACAGATTCATCAACTTTTGTCAAAATTTACTAAGAGGTTAATTTTTGTCTAAACCAAACAAGAGCTAAGATTTTCCACGACAAACTTTTCGAAAATAGACCCATGTTCGTTTGTTAGAGATGATTATTCCTTGTGATACTATCACTTGTTTGACTTTAATCTACTAAATTCTTGTTATATTTCATTTCTGATATAATTGTCATTTTTCCATCTCCTTTCTTACACAGAAAGACAACATTGGAATTGGTGGCAACTGGTCTGAATTTGTTGATTATATTAGAGCTTCCGTAAAATCTGAAGATGTGAAGCTCATTCTGGAGGGTCAATCAGAATCAGGAGGTAATTAATACTTAACTTCATTGCTTTGATGACATCATCATTGATGAGGACATCCAATTTTAATTAATTTTAGCAATTTTAATTATTTTAGTTGGAATTTAGGTTATTTTAATTTTATGGACTTTTGTATTGGGCTTGGCCCTAGGTTTGCAGTATTTTCCAGTATTTAAACCTATTTTACATTGTTATTTGGGATGATGAATTTGATGAATTAAAGAGTTGTTTTGCAGCCGTTTCCCCTCTCTTCCTCCCCGCTTCTGCCTTCTTCTTCCCTTCTCCTCCTCCTTCCCTTCTTGTTATTTATTGATTTATTAATCTCCCTACATCAAATTGGTATCAGAGCTAAATTTGGGAAAACATTATAGCTGTTGGCTGGTCTGCCTGCGAACCCTCGTGCAAAAATATACACAGAAAGTACTACTAAGCATCTACCACACGCCACAACCACTGTCCAAATTCTGTCACAACCACCATATCCCACTGCATAACCGCCACCAGCCCACTCACTCTCCAACCCGAGCTTACAGCAACCAGAAATTGAACCATACCCACCGAAATTACAACAACCGGTTTGTGTCTCCACGACCACGAACTACCTTAAACGGTAACCACCTCCCACACGACCACCACTAACAGTCACAGACTCGCAGTAACCCAGAAATCAGACCACCCCGTGACCGCCGTCTCTATTCATGAAAAGGTCCTTCCGGTCATCTTCTCAAACCGACGAGCAATAGGGGCAGAAGTGCGAAAACAGAAACCGCACCACCCAAGCCAGTCGGAGTTCACCAATCTTTCAGCCGTCGATTGCTAGTAGGCCGGCGACCCCAAGTAATTGAGCCTCTCCTCCGACAGCACCGCGACTCCCACGCGACCAGACAGTGCATCCAGAGGCCGTGCAGTGGATAT